TGGACCTACCCTGATGCAGCCCTGGGTGCTGTAGCAGCTGTGTGGAGACCCCTGCCAGCACTGAGATGCTTACACACTCACTGATTCAGCTTTCCTCCTGCAGTCAGCGTCATAGTATGTGTTTTGTGAGATGGAGGACTTTGTGGATTGGTGTCGGACATAAAGGTTAATGTTGGACTTGTGGGCTTGGGCAGCACTGGGTTGGGATGTTTTCTTGATGTGCACTTACCCTCAATATAAAACTCTCTCTTAGATATATGAGTTTCTGCGGAGCTGTTTCTCTAATGTACCCAGGCAAACACAGACAGCTACTCAAATCCCAAGAACCAGAGGTCAGGAAGAATCCATTCAAATGCAGGGTCCAGAGCAAGATGCCAAAATTCCCTGAAAGTCAAAGGAGGTTTGCTTGCTTGTAGCAAAACTCAGTCAAGAAGAAAGGTCATAAAAGGGAAGGCTTTGACTGAAGAACAGTTTTTGTCTTTCAGCAGAACATAACCCCAAGGGATACAAAGGGTAGTGAGACTCAGAAGACATCCCAACTTAATCCTGTAACAGAAAACTCCGTCCAAAATGGCATAGACTCACAGGCAAACTAACAACTCAAACACATCGCCATCGAGTTGACTCTAACTCATATTGTCCCTAAAGCACAGAGTAAAGCTAACTGCTCCTTGGGGGTCATACATCTTTATTAGAGCAGAAAGCTTCATCTTTTTCTCTTGGCACAATTGGTAGCTTGAAACTGCTGACCTTGTAGCTAACCACCCCATTCATAAAGACCAGGACTCCTGATGAGGCTTCACAAAACTGAAAGTCTGTCAAGACTGGAAGGGATCATCACAGAGGCAGAAAATTAGCAGTCAGTTGGGCAGAAAGAACATAAGAGGATGTGGGGAGAATCTGACAAGAAGAATGGTACAATCAACGGTCAATTGCTTTTATTGTTGTTAGGTGCCATCGAGTCAGTTCCAATACACGGAGACCCTGCGCAAAACAGAACACAACACTGGTCCTGTCCTTTCCTCACAATTGTTCTTATGCTTCAGCCCATTGTTGTAGCCACTGACAATCCAAATCATTATTGAAGCCCTTCTTTATTACTGCCCTTCATAATATCCTTCTCCAGGGACTGGTCTCTCCTGACGCATCCCAAGTATTGCCTTTACATACACAAAACAAAGTCTCACCACGCTTACCTTTAAGGAGTACTCTGGCTATACTTCTTCCAAGATAAACTTATTTGTCCTTTGGCAGTGCATGGTACTCTCAATATTTTTTCTAACATCACAATCCAAAGACCTAAATTTTTCTTTGGTCTTCCATATTCAATGTCCAATTTCACATGCATATGAAGCAATTGAAAATACCAGGGCTTCAGTCAGGCACACCTTAGTCCTCAAAGTAACATCCTTGTTTTTCAATACTCTAAGGAGGTCTTGTGTAGCAGATGCTGTCTTGACCGTTGCTTCCATGAGTGTTGATTGTGGATCTAAGCAAGACAAAATCCATGACAACGTCAACCTTTTTTTCCACTTATCACGGTGTTACCTACTAGTCCAGTTGTGACGATTTTGGATTCTTTTTAAGATATGTTAAACAAAATATTATTTTCTCATGTTCTAAATATTTAGTGGAAGGAAGACGCTAATTTCATAAAGAGAGAATACAGGACTTATCTCCTTGAGAAAGGATGGGGATTATAATTAAAGAGAGGATGACCAAGACCTATTATAACCCTATACTAATAGTATATATAATTGTTGGTTACTTTTATAACTCATTATCTAACTTCTAAAGGTAATTTTTTATTAACCATCAATATTTTCAAAATTATTGTGGTTTGAGTTGGTTTTGTCATGTTTATGAATTACTTGGTTTTTGATACAAGAATACTAAGTATGTTGGGGGTAGAGGAAACCTACCATCTATATAACAAAATTTAACAAATTTTGTTAAAGTAAAACTGTTAGAGAACCAAGTGATCCCACAATGACAAAATGTTAAGAAATAATATGAATACTAAATATTTCACCATAACCATTTACACTTATACGTATGTTATCAGGTATGGTTCATAAGATATTGATATATATTACCTCAGAAGATTATCACATAAGGGGAGAAAAATAATTTCTCATGTTTACTCAAAGTCCCATGAGTTTCACTACGCAGTAAATATTTTTTAAACTATCCACAATATTCAAATTACATATATTTTGACTTACAATTAGAGATTCATAGAGTATAACACTAATAAACTTAAAAATCCATTCCCCTGTATTTGGAACTTGAACTAAATCCTATTTCTAGTTTAAGAACAATTAGTTCTTACATCATGACCCTGCTTGATACTCACACTCAAGAAGAAAACACAGAAGATATGGATGTTATAACAACAAACTGTGGTGAAAAAATCAGATGGTGCCCAGATATCAGATAAACTTGCATCTGGAATCTTAAAGGCTTGTTTCAAGCAGCCATCTAACTTCAATATCAACTAGGTCCACATGGAAGAAGCACACCAAGATTGTAAATCATATAATCCGAAGCCTAAGGAAGGAATAGTATCAGAGCCTAAATTGTGAGATTCTAGTTTCCAGAAGGCTAGGGATGACAGTGGAGGCCCAAGATACATTTTTGAGATTTACACAGGAAATAAGCCTCTGGTGACTTCCCTCTATCTGTCTTAGAGGGATGGGAAGAAACTGGTTACCTTGTCAGTTGATACCCCTCTGATGCACACTGGGCCTGATCTGGTGTTCAACATTTTCTGTAGCTCTCCCCAACCTCCCACCACCCCATATTGGGGTTTATCTCTGATGTACGTATTTTGTTCTTGGGGGTAACCCTATTCAATTGTTGTTATATGTTTTTCTGGGTTTTGTTTATGAACTGCTAGGATTGATAAACCTATAGAGACAGCAAGTATAATAAGAGTTCTTGGGGGTACAGCAGGGTAGGGGAGGTAAAGGGGAGCTGCTTGATGTGATTAAACTATGGAATGATATGATACCTGTATTAGCTCCCAATGATGTGATTTTGAAATAAATAAGTAAATTCCTCTTGATGATTCATTATTGAATCACAAATAAAATTTAGTTATCCTGATTATTAAAAAAACATCATTTCCCCTTAATATCGCTCTTTACAGATATTGTTTTATTTTGATGGTACATACTGTCTGTATTTAATTTTTTTCTTTAAATATCACTATGTGGAATTAGTTAGACTCTATTTATTTCTCTTACGATTAAAAGGTATAAGTCTAGTTCTGAGAAATATTTAACATTTCTACACATAAAGAGCACACAACCAATAACAGTGGTTTAACAACTAAATTTCTGATTTTTATTCCATAACACATCTAGCCAAAGCAGCCTTGATGAACCTTCAAATTTTCTTATGGACTATAAAAATACCAAAGTAAAATTCCAAATGAGAACAAGTTCCTTATTTCCATTTCTAATTTCAAATATATCCATAATGTATATATAATACATATACTATATATATTCGAGTAAAAATATATTTCAGTTGCTTCTACAAATATACATATTCTGACAAACATTGAATCTTATGCATTATTTATCTTCATATCATTAAAATAATTATTTAAAATGAATGTACTAATATGACTTAGGAAAGTAAGGAATTTGTGATTTTTAAAATAATACATATTTTACTTTCTAGTCAAAGAGAAAAAAATTGTTAAAGGTAAAGTTAATAAATCCAAAGGGAAAAATACATATGTATCTCATAGACTCCCATGAGTGAAGCTATAAAATATTATCTAAAAGCTTTTGTAGAGAAGGAAATTTAACTATTTATTCTGAAATTCAAATTAATTAAAGTCAAGGGACCATATTCTCATAAGACAGCTTCACCAGTCATTTGGACCTTGGGCATCTGTGAGTTGATTTTCATGTTACTGCCCTCTCCCATCTATTAATATTTAATCTTCACTATTCAGCTGAGAGAAGGATTAAAATATTCTATCTTCTACAGAAGCAAGTTAACCTTTCATATGCTATCCTGTGCACAAGTCAGAAGATAAGGTCATGAAGAAACTGGCCATAAAAATATGCTTTTATCTGGTAATACGTTTCTGTAACAATAAGAATACTTTATTTATTATCTTTGGAACCTAGATTTGATTGATTCAAAATTTATTTCATTTCAAACTAACATTGCAGCAATTAATCAAATTATTTCATTTATTCTAGAAGTATAAATACTGTGTAGAATACATTTTGAAAGTTGTAGTTGTCAGCAGTGAGAAATTTTGTGGCATACATCAGTCAAATGTGACCACTTGATATGGACTAGTTCCATTTAATGTAATTTAGTAAATACATTGTTTTACATTGCTACAGAATAAATGACATAATTGGAATTTATCCATAATAATCATTAATTAATCGCTCCAAATGAAGACAGGGATTTGGCAGATAGGTGTTCAGCAAATATTGATTGAGCATCTAATGCATGTAAGAAAGCAAGGAAGATGAACGTTTTGAGACTGAAAAACTGAATAGAATTTTGATACTAATTTTGAGGAACATAAAAACTAAATTGAAACTAAAAAAATAGTTTATTATTAGATAAAGAAATTTGGGAAACGGGGAAGGGAAAATGTTTTCATATACTCACTGTCTTGTGTTAACAGCAATGGTTGTGAGCATGACTATCACTATAATTTTAAAGACGACAGAATTGAGTCTCATATAAAGGAACTAATTTTTTCAAGCCTTCAGAATTAGTGAGTTAGTTGAGCAGAATAAGCTGGAAAATTTGAGCTGATTTGATCTTTTCTATTTTTAATATTCAATCCTATTTAAATATTAAAGGAATACACATAAACTGATGTATTGTACTTGGGTTTGAGATACAGAAATGAAGTGTGTATATGCCAACTGACCCAAGAACAATATGAAATGAGAAATGTCCATCCCTCACACTGTAACAGGATTCTCCCAAACTATCACGACTCTAGCGTCAACATGAAGAAAAGAAATGACACATCAACCATAGACCTCATTTTCCTTGGACTATTTCCCGATATGGGAAATACCAGTTTTCTTATCTACATCATTTTTCTTAGCTACATCATTGCCCTCTTTGGAAACACCATCATGATCCTACTAATTTGGGTGGATTCTCGACTCCACACTCCCATGTACTTACTTCTCAGCCAACTTTCTCTCATGGACTTAGTTCTCATCACCACCACTGTTCCTAAAATGGTCACTGACTTCTGGTTGGACAGGAAAACTATCTCACAGATAGCCTGTGGGATACAGCTGCTATTTTACACAACCATAACAGGTTCTGAATGTATCCTCTTGACTCTGATGTCCTATGATCGCTATGTTGCTGTCTGCAACCCACTGAGGTACTCAGTCATTATGACCCCCAAAGTTTGCCTGCAGATGGCTGTTTCTGCATGGACAGTGGGATTTCTAGATTCCTTAGTCCACACAGCATATGTGATGCATTTACCCATCTGTGACTCCAGAGAGATTGACCACTTCTTCTGTGAACTCCTAGCTACCTTGAGACTCTCCTGTGATGACACTTCTGTGTATGAAATGATTTTGTTTGTCACAGGAATAATGTTCATCCTCATTCCTTTTGGGCTCATTCTAGCCTCCTACAGCCTCATTTTCTTGAGTGTCTTCCGTATGAAATCTAAGAAGGGGAAGAAAAAAGCCCTGGCTACCTGCTCCTCCCACCTCACAGTGGTAAGTTTCTTTTTTGGTTCAGGCATTGTTGTCCTCATGGTATCTCCGGCCATGTACTCAGCAGAGCAAAGCCAGGCTGTCTCCTTGTTCTACAACATTCTCACCCCTATGTTAAATCCCATCATCTATAGTCTAAGGAACAAGGAAGTGGTGAGAGCTGTAAGGAAAGTACTGGGAATAGGTTCCCAGATAAAGGACAGACATTAGAGTTTTGACAATACATTTTACCCTTGTCTTTTACAACAGGGTTGATAAAATAATTGAATCAGATCAACAATTATTTAAGATCCTGAAAATTATTAGCGCCCAAATTGGAAACAAACTATAAAAGGCATAGGATACGGGTATGTTATGTGAATGTAGTATCATACAAAGATTTTACTAGCAAATGTCAAAGCTAGAAAACTCATTCTCAAGAATTCCATCTCTATGTGTTATTCTGAAACATTTTATCATTATAAAATCTCTAAACTATTCAAATAGACATTCATTTAGGAATGAATATTATATAAATATAATATATAATGTATTATATGAAGATAATGAATATGGCATACTAAATATAACATATAATCACCCATACAGATTTAATCACTATTAAACTCCAGCACTATTGTTGCTGTTTGCTGACAAGTCAATAATGAGTCACAGGAATCATAGAGGACAGAGTATAATTGCCCCATATGATTTCTTAGGTTCTAGTCTCTGCAGAAGCCAAATGCCAGGTATTTTTTCTAACATAGTGAACCACGGGTTCCTACTGCCATATATGGTTAAGAGCCAAGAGCAATAGCCATTATACAACCAAAAACCCACTTCCATCAAGTCAATTCTATCGCAAAACATTGCTACATATGGTTCACAAGATTGGAAGTCTTTAAAGGAGAAGACTGCCTCCTCTTTCTCTAGTGGATCAACTAGGAAGTTTGAACTGCTAACCTGGTAATTATCAGTCTAACCCATAACCCACAAGAGCCTCAGGGGGCTTAATTTCTGGAATGTATCCTAATCTAATCAATGTTATATTTGTGTATATAAGCATAAACTTGAAGCAGATGTAGAAATGTATGTGTTTGTGTATGCTAAGTATATGCTGAAAGAATAATACTGGGCAAGACAAGTGAAATAGACACAACCATATATAGAATAATAATTTCATAAACTTTTTTACTTACTGATATACACATTTCCCTTTTCACTCAATATGAATTCACCATTTCTTGATATAATTGTATAAATTATAATAAAGTCTTCAGAATTTATCAGAACTGCTGCAACAGGTGTTCTTAATTGATAATTAGCAAAAAATGATTAAGAAACGAATATGTTCAGATCCTTCACTCAATAATTATTTTGAATGACTACAGTCATAAACCCCATAACTGATATGAAATGACAAAATTTTGGATAGAGAAGAAACTGCTGATCAAAGAATCCTTGTTAAGCCAATAATTAGACATTTTTTGATAAGTTAACCAAGAATGGAAAAGCAAATTAACATACATAGTTCCAGAGGACTTTAAGAATCAAAATCTACTTTTCTGTTTGAAGGCAGGACTGAAATAGGGGACTAATAACTTAAAGATGATTAATGTTAATGAGAGCAAGAAAGAAGTAAATGTTCTAAAGTTGATTGTAGAGATGATTGTAGAACTCTTATAATATGACTGAACTATTGAATTATATAATGTGTGAAATATATGGCAATAAAACTTTAGAATATTTTTAATCATTTTGTTGGGGGCTCATACAACTCATCACAATACATACATAAATCAATTGTATAAAGCACATTCATACATTCATTACCCTCATCATTCTCAAAACATTTGCTCTCCACTTAAGCCCTTGGCATCAGCTCTTCATTTTCCCCCTCCCTCCCCGCTCCCATCTCCCTCATGAACCCTTGATAATTTATAAATTCTTATTTTGTCATATCTTGCACTGTCCGA